CTGGCCATTAGATCTGTCTTGTAGCCAATATTTGTAAACTAATAGCCAATGCAATAAATCAGTAGCCAAGTGCTTGCAAAATACTGTTGTGTCTAAGTAGTTGGGTGTTTTTCTTCATTCAATTGCATGTGTGGATGTATGTAGTTACAGTTCTGGAGACTAAAACCCAGCCACTTATCTTCAACAGATGGGTAAGAGGTGACCAGTTTCCTCTACACAGCACCACCTCGGCCCCTACCAGGAGGGGAATGGGCCTGCTCTCTCCTTGAGCTTCCTTGACGTTGCATCCAACTGCAATGCAGCTGGCAGGGGGAAAGGGGATGGGAGGGGGGCAGACAGGGGCCCAGTTGCCCATTTCAGAGATGATACATTAATACACTCAGCAGTCTGTGTGTGTCTCAGTCATGAAATACCCCCTCAATCCCAGGACTACTTCACTGGGGGTGGGAATGTGGACCTATAGCAAGCTGGGGTCTCACCAGAGCAAGAGCATTCATGTCAAGCAAATCTAGCCCTTCAAAAATTGCAAGAAACAATCTTGGCCCATTCTCAGGGAAAGCTTAAACAGTTCCACTTCACACACGAACCACCAGCTGTTTGCACAAAGGGTCTTATTAATACAGTGACCCTGCCCTCAGTCACCCTTGCATCTCCGCCAGCAGTTCCTCCATCTCCCTGTGGTGGGGATGCATCCCTGGGCAGGAAAGCAAAGAGGTGGCAAGAGCCTCTCACCGAGCAGGGGAAGCTCCAGCACGGGCTGGCTTGAGGACCAGTGCATGGGAGAGAGGACAGCTTCTACCCCCTCATCCCTCTGTGCACCCCATTTCACGGCCGGCTGGAAATGTAGGAAAAGGAGATGCGGAAGCTGTTTCCCATTTCCTCCCCAGCGCATGGCAGGCTGTGCTACCCCATCCCTCACCTGCTGACATTATTGCCCCACACAACCACCCCACAAAGGCCACGGCAGAGGCCAGGAGGTGCCCTCTGGGCAGTGATGCCTGTTGGGGACAGGGCGCGTGGGGAGCGTTACAAGCGGGAGCCCCACCGTCGCGCGCTTCTTTCTCTGGGAGAAAATGGCGGCACCGCAGCTGCAAAATGTGCTGACCTCAGCAGCGGGTCGGGGCCCGGAGGGGTCCCCCCTCCCCGGCACAAGGAGCCCTTAGCGGTAAAGGCACTGCTGCCATTGTGCGGCAGGATTGGATGCTTCCATGTATTCATTTCGCTTTAATGAAGGCGCATTCCTCAGAGGAGAAATATTTACATTCAGCTTCCCAGGTGGTCACCTTCGCCCAGATGACACACAAACAGGCGGCCCCCCCGCTCCCTTTTCCAATCCAAACCTCTTTAGAGGGCTCAGGGAGGAGGGGAGCAAGGG